GGGAGCTCAGTCTCCACCCTGGGGAGAAAGCCTGTAGCCAGCCCGACTGGACCTAGGACAGCAGACCAGCCCGGCTCTGACCGGCTGGCCGGAGGCAGGGGCGGGGACAGCGGCGTGTGGCTGGGGGGGCCCCTCTGTGCCTTGGGGGGGCCCTCTGTGCTGCCCACCCCGGCCCCTCACTCAGCTGCAGCCTGCGGGTGGCACCGGCTTCCCCATTTTTCCAGTGTTGGATATTTGCCCCGAGCCACCCAGCACCCAGGGGCAGAGCCCACCGGTCCTGCCGGGTGGCCTCCGGGGTTCTGGCTGTCACCAGTATCCTCTGGGGATGTGGGGATCTGTTCTGGGGGTACATGGTACACCACGTGAGAGAGAACGCTGTCTATCAGGGGCTTTTTGGGGTCCACAGCACATTTGTGTACATCTTGTATTTTTATTATTGTCCTCATTTTACAAATGAGAAAATTAAGGCTGAGGCCAGTGCTGGGGTACAGAGGTCACAGCAGTGAGGCAGGGCTCCAACCCCCACAATCTGAGCCCTTTTGTTAAAGTGACTTGGAGACAGGTGTGCCTTGAGGTTGGGGGGAGGGGGGTGCTATGTACTGGAAGCCACAGGACAAAGCAGAAGACTTGATCTGGACAAACCAGCTTAGCCTGAGGGGACCCGCCAGACTGATGATCGCAAGGGGTCCCTGGGTTTTAGTTGTGAAGGGGAGTCAGATGGGGAGGGGGTGCTGCTGGGGCTCCTTGAGTTTCAAAACCAGGGTAGAAGGACAGCAGCTTCAACCCAGAGATGAGGGCTCCCCCGCACCAGTGGGGCCTGAACACCCCCAGCAACGTCCTGTTAACAGCATGCTTGGGGGACGCACAAGTGCCAGGCTTGTCCTGGGTCACAGAGGGGCCGGCCAGGGCCCTGGGCCGCCTCGTGAGTGGGGCAGGAACCGACCCCCCCCCCCCCCCCCCCCCACCCCATCAGAGCCGTCAGCAGTGACAGGCACAGAGTCTGGGTCAAAGAACGGGGCTCCTTGCTCGATGTAACCTAGCAAACGATGTAACCCCCATTTCCTCGCCTGGAGAATGAGGCCACGACATACGCGCCTCACATGTGGTGAAAGACAGCGCCGGGGTGGGGGCACCTGCACACAGGTAGCACCCCACCCGCGCTGGCTGCATCATGAAGACAAACACAGGCCACACCTGTGTAAAGGTGCTTGCAAAGACTATCTCCTCCCCGGCCAAGGACCAGGAGGCGGAAACTCTCAGGGCTCCCGGGCCTGAGGTCACCTCCTGGGAAACGCAGCTGGGCAGGGCTCCCACAGGTGTGCAAACAGGCCGGCCACCTGTTACAGGCTCTCCTCCTCCCAGGTGAGCCGGCGGGGCTGGCTCAGCGCCTGGCTGCTCAGCTCTCCTGGCGTCCCTGTCCCCCACCGGGCAGGTCCCTCCGGGAGTCCTCCTCATGCCAAGGGGTAAAGTGACCGCAAGGTCTGGATGCCATTTGAGAGCACGCACCGCCTGGCCCTGAAAGGAGGCCCAGCACCGCCCCAGTGCCCCCGGGAAGTGTCCTTGGGCAGAGGGGGCTTTTCAAAATGTGGCTGCAGGGCTGCCAGGGCCTGTTTTATCCTGAGGAGAGGCTGGGTGGCCAGGAGACCCTCAGGAAGAGGTCCCACCCCGCCCTACCTATGCAGTCAGGATGGGGGGTCCCTTGGGACCCACACAGAGTGGGGGAGCCCATGCCGGAGGCTGGCTCCTGTCCATGCCCTGAGGGATCCGTTTCCTGCCACAAAGGACAGATTCAAAGGCTGGAGGCCTGGTTCTCACCTGCTGCTATTCACCTGAAGCAGGGCAGAGTGGCCTCATTCACTGCCCCCCTCCCTGGCCTGGGCACAGCACGGAGCAGCTCCCTGCTCAGCCCACAGGCCTCCCTGTTCCGCAGGGAGGTGGGGCGCGTCTGGCCCCTGCACCAGGGGGGACTGGACTGCGGGCAGGCGAGCGCCCCCTTCTTGGGCAGTGTCCCCAGCTCCCACGTGGCCTAATTCCCCTGTCGTGGATGGTTCTGGGGTTTCCTCCTCCGACTCTGCAGGGGGCTGGGCAGGGGACCTGGGTGGTGCTTCCCCCACTCGACGGCCACCTCAGGGCTCGCGGCCACGGGCCACACAGCGCTGCCGGTGGGGAGCCCTCGCAGGCCGCGCCTTTGGCTGGGCATCGCTGCCTTTTCCTGCCGTTGTCTCTCCCTCTGTGACCGTGACCTGCTTTCTGGAGTAGCGAGTGAGCGGGAAAGACAGCAGCTAGCACCAGGCTGAACGCGTTACCCGGAGGTGGGGCGTCTCGTGAGGCAGTGAGTCCCGCGCCCCCCGTGTGTCAGGCAAAGCTGGGAGCCCCTCCCCGAGATGCCGCAGAGGAGCCTCGGGCTGCCCTGCACCCCCCAGGCGTCCAGCGCTGAGACTGAAAGCCGAGCGCGTGCCGGGGTCTCCGGGTTCCGGGGTTCAGACCCAGGAGCCTTTCACGCCCGGCAGCGCTTGGAGGTAAAACCCGTCACAGCCACCTGATCACCGAGGTCCCCGCACTCCCCGCCGGACAGACACTCGTGAGGCCAAGAACACCCCTGATGGGGGCCGCCTGAGGCCCAGCCCTGGGGGCACCAGCCTGCTACCAGCCCATCCTCAAGAGCCACTAGGCAGCCCGTCACCCCCGGGGCACAGCCGCTGTCACCCCACCTGTGGTCGGCTCGTCATCAGTTCCCCGTGAGGCGCCACCGGCTGCAGAAGCCTCCTCCCCTGGGCGCTGGCCTGAGCGGCGGCCATGGCTTGGCCATCAGGCTCCCAGCGGCCCTGGCTGTTCGTTGGTGGTTGGATCCTGATCCTCATCAGCAAGATGCTGGCCTCTGTGGTCTCAAGGTCACCCTCACCTGAGCCCCCAGACACAGAAGAGGGTGTCGGTCCCCGCACACCAGAAGGAGCAGCCGCCATGGTGCACACCTGGACAGCTGCCCGTGGGGCTGCAGACATGCCCACCCTCTGCCCACTGTCTGCTGCCTGCGCCCACCCCCACCCTGGCGCCGAGTGCGGTCATCCCCCCACGGGGTGTTTACTTAGGAGGCTCGGCCTGTTCACACTGCGGCTGCCCAGCCCTCCCCACCATGCACCGGCTTTAAGTAGGGGGCTGTGCTGTGGGGTCACCACTCCCGAGACTGTTGGGGGGACCCCGGGCTGAGCTCCCAGGCCCGGGCACCTCAGACATGACAGGGAAAAAAGAAAAACAATGGCGCTAAAAGCATGAGCCCGTGCACGCAGCCGGAAAAGGGGGTGATGCAGGGTAGAAGTGACAGTTTAGAAAACGCTTCAAAGCAAAAATTCCCAAAGTGGAGATGATTCCGCTTCCCGGCTCCCGACTTGAACAGCCGCTGCCCTGGGAGACGCTCCCATCTCTGGGGTGAAGGGCAGATGTCGCCTCCACCCGCAGCCTCCGGCCGCTGGGGTGCCCAGGACAGGTGAGGTCGCCGTGAAGATGACCGGCCCGGACGGTGGGGGACATCTGGAGGGTCCCGCTCGGCCAGGGGCGCCGGCCAGGTCCCCCCTCCGGGCCTGCAGACCTGGCTCCGCCCCCCGGCGCTGCGGGGGGGCGGGGGACCCTCCTGCCGCCCCGCAGAGACACCCCCTCACACGCCAGCTATTAAAAACCTTTATTGTTCCTGTACTCTCGGCAGCATATTTTTAGTTGAAATATGAAGCCACAGCAACACTTTCGCTTTTCTTCTTCAGAAGAGGAGACAGATCCAGCCTTTGTGGTTACAAGAGGAAGCCGTAACCTTGACAAGGTCAGCTGGGGAGGGGACACGTGGCCTGCAGCACGCGGCCGCCTCGTGGGAGCTCCAGGTAGGCGAGGGGCGGAGCCTCCACACCTGGACACAGATGCTGGGGTGGGCCAGACCCCCTTTCCCTGGGCCAGTGCTGGGCACTGAGCTGGGAGAGCCTGTGTGCGTGTGCAGCCCTCCTGAGGACGGGCCTCCTGGGGCTCAGTGGGCTCTGCTCATTCATGGTGAGTTGGGCAGGGCCAGGGGTCGTGCGTGTGTGGAGGGGAATGCCCGTATCCCGGCCAGGACCCTCGAGTCCCACCTCTGGGGCAAGGCTCAGATGATGCTCAGGGCAGAGGGCGCCTATTCACCCACCCTGGGGCCTAGCTCCGTGCTGACCACAGCCCCAAGGCCTGAGGAGGGGGACACTGAGCTGAGAGCTTCCGGGCCTGGGGGCCGAGGGCAGGAGGGTGAAGGGGCCTTGGTCACCTGTTCCTGGGCAGGCAGGAAGACCTGGGGTCAAAGACCACTGCTCCGCAGAATGTTTCTGGAAGTCAGCCTGGAAGTCAGGGCTGGGGACTGGCCTGGTAGGAGAACCAAGGCCCAGGCGGCTGTCCCGGGGGCTCTTCATAAACAGTGACGCTGCCCCACCCATGCTAGCCGGACAGAGACAGAAGACCTTGAGCCAGACGCTGGCTGACAGGACAACTGCCCAGGGCAGACACCACAGGCCTCTGGCAATGGACGTCAGAGGCCATGAGGAGCCAAACGCCCCTGGGGCCTGGCGAGCCAAGTGAGGGCCTCTGAGAGGGTTCCGGGCCCGGGCAGAGGCCTCAGCTACACTGTGTGCTCCCCGGCTGAGAGCAGCTCCTGCCCTTTACAGAGGAGCCCCAGGAGGCCTGAGGAAGTGGGATACCGCGGGGAAGGCTGCTTGTGAGCACCCCCTGCTCAGCCCAGCCAAGCAGGAGGCCGGAGAGCAGTGCACAACCCTAACCACATGGGCGGGATGGGGGGCCGGTCACGGGCACCTCCAGGCTGGGCTGGGGGTGAGGCAGCTGCAGTCATCACAGCCATGCATCCTCATGGGGGCGCGGGGCAGCAAGGAGCTGAGTGTGGGAGCCAGGGGACCCCAAACACCCATGCCGAAAACCAACCAAATCCATGGAGCACGGGAAGCAGCGACAGCTGGATAATAAACACCGCGGAGCGCACGTGGTTTTCTTTCTGTTTTTTTTCAAGTCAAATAACAACCTGTGTCCCAGACCCTGTCCTCAGCGTCGCGCGAGAAGCTGCTGTCAGCACAGCACCTGCGGCCGAGCCACGGCCAGCCCGCGGCCCCCTCTTCCAGTTTAAGCGGCTTCTGGGCCTCTTCTCATCCCTAACAAGTGACCTAACCAAGCACCAGAGCGCAGGCAGCTTCCGGGGAAGCCACGTTCCAGGCGCAAATTAAAAAAAAAAAAAAGTCAGGAATAAAAATAAAAGGTTTCTGTTGGTCAAGATTTAAAAATCAAAAGGTTTCTTCCTGCAGCCAATCGTGAGTCCATCCCTACCGCGCCATGGCGGCTCCGTGCGCCCCCAGGCCGAGGGGGGGTGGGGGTGGGGGCTGCGGGGGAGGGGAGGCGGGCAGGGGTCTGCTGCCACTGGCGGAGCGGAGCCCTCGCAGCTCTGGCCCTCGCTGTCGTCCAGGGTGTGCCAAGGGGCTCGCACTACTGCCTCCGGTCCTCCGTCTCCGACCTGGAAAACGCCATCACCACGTCCTCTGCACCTGCGGGCCGGAGGAAGACGCTGCTGGGCCGGGCCAGGAGGCTGCGGCGAGGGCATCCTCGGGCGGCCCACCATCCCCTGCGGTGCCCCACCTGCGGCCAGGGGAGCAGGGCCCCAGGAGGTCCCCGGGCCTGGACCAGGGCTCCGCTGGGCCCCTGTGCCGAGGTCACCACAGCCGGCGGCCCTGGGGAAGCTCCCTTCTTTCCCAGCTCTTGCCTGGCCCCCGGAGGCCCCAGCTCGTGAGGGTATTGAACAGCCCCTCAGTCCTTCGCGCCACACCAACACCTGCACAGGCGGGACTCTGCTGGCCGCTGCTCGGGAGACCCCTCACGGCCACCGTCGCTATTGTTATTTTCACTCCCGGATCTGAGGTCTGGTCCAGGCAATCAGGAAGTCACCCCCTTTGTCTTGTTTTCCATAAGACAGGCTCTGACACACGGCCAGCAAAAGCTGGTGGGAGGAGGGAAAGAGCCAAAATACTGGGCCTCCCACCCCCAGCTGCCCAGGAAGGAAGGGGCTCACTGGGCCGCCAAACGAGGTGACCCGGCCCGGCCCCCTGCCCGGGGCCCGCTGCTTTCTCCCCACTTCCTTGGGGCAGCCTTAGCTACAGGCTTCCCCTCCCCACCCCCTCCACCCCCCCAAGAGCCGGAACAGTAGGCACAGGAAGGGCCCCCGGGGGGGCTGGCGTGGGGGTGCAAGAGGGAGCTTCTGGCAGGTGAAAGGGAGTCAGGTAGGGACAGGACACCCCCATGTTGGCCGTCTCTGTCGCCCCCTCAGCAGCAGACTCCCGTGGACCTCCTGCACTGCTCTGCCCCAGGACACAGGGGCGCTGTGGGCCACCCCCAGGACGCTGGGGCGCTGCCACACATACCGTCCTCCCTGGGGGCTGCTGGTGAGACCACACAACCGCTACTCCCATGAGATACATGAGCTTCTAGAAAGGAGCTCAGATTGCTTGGCTCCTGGATGGGGCCCCTCTGCTTGGGAAGCCCTACAAAAATCCCTCCCTGTCTTCTCAGGAACATTCTGTTCTCGCTTCAGTCCTAGGACCACGCAGTTCACTGCAGGCAGAGTTTTCCTAGCAACCACAGAATCCAAGATTACATCATGCCCGCGCGGCAGCCGCGCTGGGCACCTGGCGGATGCTGGCTTTTCCCGAGCCACTCCTGAGCTGGGTGAGCGGGAGGGCTGAGCAGCCGGCGAGGGCTGTAGCCAGGCGGCCCACTCGCTGGCCTTGCTGGCCCCGGGGCCCGCTCGCAGGGCCCGGGCCTCTGTACTGTGCAGCAGCGGCCCAGGAGGGCTGGTGCAGCTGGGGAGGGAAGGCCGGGGCTCTGCCGAGGGGCTCTGCGGAGGAGCCCGGCTCTGGGGACGTGGCCGGTGGGCACCTGCACTACTCGGGAGCCTGGGGAGGAGATGACGCGCAAGGTCACACCGGGACTCGGGGGATACCTGTTCCACACAACACCTGAAGCAAAGCAGCTGCCAGCGTCCCACCTGTCCCTCTCACGGCTCCTGGACCCGCCCTGGCGCCTCCCCAAGAGCCTCCACTGTGTGCAAGAGCCCAGAGAGGAGCCCCCTCAAGGACGGTGCAGGCCTCCGCACAGGGGCAGGCTCTTCCAGGGCACCCTCTGACCATCACTAAGGACTATAATGAGAGCGCGGCAGGCCCGGGGCAAAGGTGCGGACTTTCCCTCTCCTTTCCTCCAGAAACGTGCAGATCATCACCCAGGAGGTGAGCTGCTCAGTGGTTATTGTGAGTGCACTGCTGAGGGCTTTAGGACCTCAGTGGGGATCCCCAGGACCCACACTTCTCCCTTAAAGGCCACCATGGAGTGGCTCACTTGGGTGCGCTCCAGATCCTGGAATCATGGGCTCAACCAGTCTGGAAATATCACATACCAAAAGATACTCTGACCATATTCCTACAACCTTTGTTACAGTATATAATTGTCTGTCTTTTTGTTAGTTACTGTTATTCTATTACTATACCTGGTTTATTTAGTGTATCGGGTCTGGCCTGGTGGCCGAGGGGTTGAGTCTCGGCGCAATCACACAAGCTGCCGGAGCTGGACTCCGGCCAGGAGCTGACCCCCAGGGCACGGCAGGCCTCGCCGGTCTCCCCACTGCCCCCCCTCAGCAGTGTGTTTCAGTCAATCCTCCTGATCTGCTCCCCACTGTCTCTGGTGGGTCCTCTGGCCTGTACCCTAGTTCTTATTACATAAATAAATCAATCAAAAATAACAACAGTTAGGAATAATTTAACAAATTTAATGCAAAACTATTATTTTGCAAAAACCAAAATCTCGTGATTTAAAATATTGAAAGAAACTTCAGCATAACCTCCATGAAAATCTCAGGAGAAATGGCGCACGGCTCCTACAGTTAACAGGGAAATAAATGCAAAGGACCCAGAATCACCAAGATAATCTTGAGAAAGAGAGTAAGTCAAATTCATACTTCCAGATATCCAAATATACTACAGCCTCACAGTGAATAAGACTGAGCAGCACGCCATAAGGTGGACATGTCGGTCAACGGAATGGAACTGAGAGTTCAGAAATGAATGCTCCTGTTCAGGGTCGCCACGTTCCCACAGAAGTACCAAGACAACTGAAGGGGAAGAACTGAACAAAGCATGAGGGGACGACCTTCCACGGAAGCAATGAAGGTGGACCCCTACCTCACACCAGAGGCAAAAACAAACTCAAAATGGATCAGTAATATTTATGAAGAAGTTACAAAACTTTCAGAAGAAAATGTAGGAATAAATCTCATGACCCTGGGCTAGGAAAGGGTGACTCAGACATGGCACCCAAGCATAAGCACCCAAGGAGACTGGGCTTTGACAAAGTCAAAAACTTTGATGCTTCACAGGACACCACAGGAAAAGTGAGACGGCAACTCCCATAGCGGGAGAAAGTATTTGCAAGTCCTGCACCCGGTAAGGCCTTGGTGTCGGGAACATATAAATAACACAATACCGACAGGAGGTCAAACAACCCAGTGTTTTAAATGGGCAAAGACCCTGAATACAGACATTTCTCCAGAGATACAAGCACGGTCAGTGAGGACATGAGGAGGTTTGTCCCTAGCCGTTACGGAAATGCCAATCAAGCGCCATGAAGCCCTGCTCGGCACCCGCTAGGCTGGCCACAGTTAAAGGCGGTACCAAGAGTTAGCAAGGACGTGAGGACCTGGGAGGACGGACAAGCTGGACTGTCAAGTCCGGCGGCTCCCGAGGCCACTGCAGCATCAGCTCAGCAGGGGGCTCCGCCCTCCCAGCCAACCCCCAGGGTCTTCCGGACCCGCTTCTCCCACACACATTCCAGACGAGGCGCCAGCAAGCCCTGTTGACTTGCTTTTCAGATTATCCTGCACGGATCCTCCAACACCACCTCAGTCCAGCCCATGCTACTGTCCACTGGCCTCGTGGACACCCCATGGTCCACTTTCCATGCAGGAGCCAGAAGGAAGCTTTTCAAAAGATAAGTCCCGTCCTTCCTTTGCTTAAAACCCTCCAAAGGCTTCCTAGGGCGAGGAGGCCCCTGGGCCTCGGGGTCCCCCTTCACACGCCGCTCGGCCAGCGTCTTCAGGCTCAGGTCCTCGCGCCGCAGGACCTGAGCATGTGCAGGCTCCGGGGCGGCCTGGCTCTCCCCCATTCCAGCTGCTGGTGCTCACTCCATTCTCGGCAGGGACAGCCCCCAGCACCCCTCCACCACAACGCCTGAGACAGACTGACAGCCATGTCAACCTCTCTTGGTGGCATCTCCTCAGGAGCCTCAGCGTCACCCCCAGATTCGGGACCCAAGGGGGTGTTTGCTTCTCAGTGTTCAGGGCGTCTTTCTCATACACCCCCACATTCACAGCCCTGGGACCGGGCCTTACTGCAGGTAAAGGGCCTGAAACTGAGACGAAGCAGCCTGGGGAATCAAGAGGGGGTGGAGGACCCAGAGACTTTTGGGTCTGGCCGGCACAAGGATGCACTTTGCCATTTCTTCTCGGGAGAAAGAAATAACTAGCTAGCTCATGACACCCGAGGCCCCAAGGCTGCTCGGGCCTCCAGGCAGACTGGACCAAATCTTCTGTACCAGTGAGAACCAAGGCCAGGCTCGAGACCACCGCCAAGGCAGCCGGGGGGTCCCGGGAACCTCAGCCTGGAGTCGGAGCACTGGGCTGGAAGGAGCCTGGCCCAGGCCCAGCCCCGGCCTGCGGCACTGGTGAGGGCCTGGCACCCAGCGGCTGTCCCATCCCACGCCCAGTGCCAGCTTCGGCCCTTTAACAGAGCCCGTTGGGAAGAGAAAAATGACAAATATGCAAGAGCGTGGAGAAGGGCAGCTGGGCCCTGGGGGCGGGGCGACAGGGGGCGCTCAGGGATGCACACAGCAAGGCGGAGGCCGGCGGATCTGTGGCAGCACCTGCCCCGCGTCCCGGCTTCCCGAGGGCATCAGCAGCAGGCGTGGGTGCAGGGGCCAGGGGCCGGGGAGCCCAAGGGCACTCAGACGCAACCCGAGCGTCTGGGGACGCGCCCAGTATCTAGGGCCCCGGTCTGTCACAGGCTTCTCGTCAGCACGCTGGCACCGATGCGCCTGCCGCCACGGGCCGCCACGGGCCGCCACGGGCCGAGAGGAAGTTCACTGAAGCGGGACACAGCAAGAGGGCTTCTGGGGTGTGCGGCCCGCACAGCCCGTTTTGTGCCAGCGAGCACCTGGCACCAGCTCCAGACCCCGCGCCGTCCAGGCAGACGGGCGGCTGGGAGAGAGGCGCCCTGAGGCAAGCCCCAACCCCAGAAGCCTGGTCCGGCTGCTAGCCCAGGGCCCCCCGCTCCAGGACGCAGCCCAGCACGGAGGTCACTGGCGAAGGGGGGTCCAGGAGCGGCACTAGCCCGGCCACGGCCACACCCCCTGGGGACAGGGGCCTCTCTGAAGCCCCCCAGCCCCTGGCTGGCGCTTGCAGGCTGCCCCAGGCCCCAGGTCCTCCTGGCCTCAGGGACCAAGGCCTCCC